TATATATATATATATATATATATATATATATATATATATATATATATATAGATGAATTCAGAATAAAAGAAGCTAACTTTTTTATCCATATAACAAATTTGAAAAATTAAAAATTTGACCTGATAATGACTATTTTGTTAATTATTAAAGATATATTTTTTTTCTTTACCTTAGTCCATTTTATTTTTTACAAAAACTGAAAATAATTTTTATTTAAAAGGTTTTTTCTTATCTCCGACAGTTAGGCCCGATCTACAATAGATGGAGTAAGGAGTAGGAGTAGGAGTAAGATGAAATGGAAATAAGGCCTGATCTACGATAGATGGAGTAAGGAATAGAAGTAGAAGTAAGAAATAAGCAGTAAGCAAATTGGCCAATTCCATTTTCACGATTCAAGTATAATCAGATTGTGATTGGTCCATTTACTGCTTATTTCTTACTCCTACTTCTACTCCTTACTCTATCTATTGTATATCGGGCCTAATTATTTTGCTTACTCCCTTACTCTAATAAAAGTTTGCCCATATACATCACATGGAGTAAGCTTGAATTAAGTAGTAAGAGCTGAAGTAAGGAGTTGGAGTAAGGGAGTAAACGAAATAAATTATTTCCATTTCGTCTTACTCCTGGTCCTATTCCTTACTCCATCTATTATAGATCGGGCCTTACAATAATAACTAAAAGGGGGGTAAAACTTTGAAGGGTAGTTTCACCCCTTAAACTTGAGCCATTGCAGATAAAAAATATGGGTCTCTTATTTTTGGTTATTTTATAAATATGCCAAGTTTCATTGAAATCGGAAACACATTCTTCGCGGGTGTTCCTTGTAAGAAAAACATTCAATAGCCGGTCTGATTTCGCGGATATTATTAAATATTAAAATATATGGGAATTAAAAAAACAGATAATAATTCATACTTGACGAATAATTAATAAATCATTAATAAATTTTACATTTTAAAATATACCTTAATTAATATTTAATAAAATCCAAGAATACAAAAAATTAGCAATCATTACAATGACTACCGACTACTGGACGTTTCCTCTATATATAAGGTGTAATA